TAGTAAGGTTCAGCCGTTACTGCTAATTGGCTCGGATTGCACCCACCTGATCACAGCCACGGAGCCAGTCAGGGTCGGCCCCAAAGGTGGACCCACAGCCATAAATACAGCACTCGGCTGGGCACTTCAGGGTCCAGATGGGCTAACATCTCAGTCGACTTCATGCTACTTCGCATCTGTCAAGCCAGCAGCAGATGACCTCACCCGTGGCAAGACAGTAGCTGAGCTGGCGGCACCAAATCGGTGGATTCAAGGTCCAATATTCCTACGTGGCCTGTCTGACCAATGGCCGTCGCTTCCTGCCCCCACAGAGCCCGAAGATACTGACGAGCACAAACGAGCTACCTTCTGCGGCCTAACGCGAACCAGTTCAGTACCTCCAACACCAGATGTCACACAGTTTGACACATGGACAGACTTGGTCGAGGCTACCAAGCAGTTACTTCACGGGGCGGCAACTGACCTTTCCTTGCCTCAGTCTGACCTGCGTGACGCTGAAAGCCTCCTGTTGCAGCGCAGCCAAGCAGAATGCTTCCAAGAGGAGATTGAGTGTCTTAGGGCTGGAAAACCAGTAAAACCTGGCAGTAAGCTCAGTATGCTTTCACCGGAGATTGATCCTGCAATGGGTCTGATCCGCGTCGGGGGAAGATTTCGCCACATGGAGACTTCCTGTGATATGGAAATTCACCCCATTGTTCTCGATCCCAGCCATGCAGTCACAAAACTCCTCATTAAGGACATGGACGAGCGCTTGCTCCATCCAGGGCCCGACAGGGTCTTTGCTGAGACTAGGCGCCAGTACTGGGTCCTGCGTGGAAGACAGGCCGTCAAGCATCATCAGAGGACTTGCACTGGATGCAGGAAGTGGAAAGGGAAGCCAGTGATACCGATTATGGCCGACTTGCCTTCTGCCCGTCTGCGGCTCCTCAAGCCTCCATTCTTCTCTACTGGGGTCGACTGTTTTGGGCCGTATACCGTCAAGGTAGGGCGGCGCAGTGAAAAACGGTGGGGAGTCATCTTTAAATGTCTCACCACTCGCTGTGTCCACCTAGATCTGCTTAATAGCATCGATGCAGATGCTTTCCTCTTGGCCTTGAGGCGATTCATCGCTCGGCGCGGCACCCCCTTCGAGATTCTCTCAGATCAGGGGACAAACTTCCGGGGAGCAGCTAGGGAGCTTGAGGAGGCGTTTGCTGGAATGATGCCCCAACTGCAAGAGGAACTTGCCAAGAAACAGATCAAGTTTCGCTTTAACCCTCCAGCATCTCCCCACTTTGGTGGTGCGTGGGAGCGTGAGATACAATCAGTCAAGAAGGCTCTACAAGTGGTGATCGGCACTCAGTCTCTCCAGGGAGAAGTCCTCCTCACCTTGTTAGTTGAGGTGGAAGGTATCTTAAATGCCAAACCCTTAGGCTATGTGTCATCAGACCTCGCAGATCCAGATCCTGTGACGCCAAGCATGTTGCTGATGGGGCGGCGGGATGCCTCCCTTCAACAAGTATCATACGCTACAGACACCCTCAGCAAGAGGCGGTGGCGTCATTGTCAAATGATGGTTGACCACTTCTGGGTGCAGTTCATCAGAAGCTACTTGCCATCCCTTCAAGTCGGCTAGAAGTGGCGGCAGCACACTGATGGTCTTCTTCAAGGTACTGTCGTAATGATAGTTGATCCTCAGCTTCCACGTGCCCACTGGCCAGTGGGGAAGGTCGTCAAGCTGAAGGCCAGTGCTGATGGATGCATCCGGTCGGCTGAGGTTCAAGTCGGGGACAAGACGTACCTGCGACCCGTGGCACGCCTTGTGCAGCTACCCGCTCTATCGGACGACGATGCTGATCCAGGGACTTCCGCTGCACCTTAGGGAATTTATTCTGTTTTACATAATAGCTATGCTATGCGGCTGTTGTAAATTCCCATTGTTTTCTTTGGTCTGCGTTGTATCGTTTGTGCTTTTTGGTCAGGCACATTTGGGGACAGCTAAGTAGCGCAGCTACGGGTTCTCGAGCTGTTTACCCATGTGCGTTTGATGACAGGACATTATTGCGGTCGCATCGTCAACTACATAATTACCGTCAAAGAGAGAATGCGTTTGTGAAGAATAAACCATTTAATCATTCTACATTCATTCATCAATCTTCATTCAACCATTCATTCATCATTCAATACTGCTACAGCTGTTGTAAGAAGCATTCAAGCTGAAATAAAGTCCAAAGACTGTATTTCCTGTCTCCGCGTCTACTCTCTAACCGGAATACTGTTTTAGATGAAGCGGCTCCGGCACAAACATCACATAACATAAGATTCCCCAACACAGTGCATGCCCCCATTTTGCTGAATCTTTTCAACATCCACATTGCCCAGACTCCCACTGCCCTCTGTTACAGTGGATAGGATTCCATTTTTCTTGGCAAAAAAAATCTGTGGTCACAGTAGGCAACTCTTTTTCCTGCAGCATTGGTTGAGTTTTCTGTCATTGTGTCAAAACCCAGTTTGCTGTCAGCAGTGTAACCATGCTGCCTCAAACAGAAACTCAGAGAGAAAATTACAGAGGGGATCAGAAAACTCTAGCGCAGGTCAAACGATGAACTGCAATGTAGCTTGTACCACTAAATCTAGTATAAATCTTTTCAAGGCTAAAAAGGGTTTAAGTTTCACAAACAATGTGTCCTCTATACATCTCTGGAGGTCTCCTGGCTTGACTTACACTTTGCAATATAATGTGACAGCGTACTGCACCACAGCAGCTTATCTTTAAATTTTTGAGCGCTGTGTAACAGTGTGCTATAATGTATCACAGGGCTTGCGTCCTATCTCCCCCGGTTTCTAATACTGCCTCAGGCTAAACCAACACGGCACAGGCCCTGATCTGGACTGGGATGTCCTACTAAGACTTCAAAAAGCCGCTGTCTGCTGAGAGAGAGGGGAAAGGTTTGCTTAATGCTTTCAGTCTGCTCTGCACCTGCTGGATAAACTGCCAGATCGAACACACACACACACACCCCCACCCCCCCACACACACACACACACGTTTGAGGATGTGTGTGTGTGAGTCCCTTGTCACACTGAGCCACAGCCATGTCTTAACGTGACTGGCTGACAGACAGACTAATACACATTGACAGCCAAACAAAACAAGAGGAGTGGACCTGGTGGTGACCTGTGCTTCTTTTTATGTGTGTTTTGACAAGCGTATTATTAAGTTGTCAGAAAACTGACAGTAACAAAAGGGACTGCCTTCTGACAGCTTCATCTCTCTCGCTCCATAAACACGCACAGTGAAGGAAAGAGGTCGGCAGCAGGGAACACTCAGTTCAGAGACTTCATAGCGTACGAAGGAAAGTGTGCCCTAAAGGTTTCAGTATGCTTCAAATTAATTGCTTGTTCAAACCCCCTACCTCAATTCTCTTTTCATGTCAGACTTTGGCACTTTGTCCAACAACTTTTTTAATTTTCCATAACAAAAAATCCGACAAGCAACTACTTTCTCGTTTTTCCTTCGTTGCAAAAGACTAAGTCCAAAAATGTCCGCCATTATGCCCATTTTTACGATTCCTCATGTTGTATCCCTCTCTCTGTGATGCAATATTTTTAGCGTGGCTCTTTTAACCTGGCCATTCAGAACATTTTTGCCAATAGACAGGGTTGAAATAAACTGGTTTCGTGCTCTGACCTGGAAACAACATAGTGAAAACAACCAGTTCCCCCGACACATACTTTGTCAAAGAAAGGGGGCATTGAGACGCACAAAACAAATCAACCCAGCAGGACCCGAAGCCCAATCCCTGACTATACAGCCATTCCCTGTTGTAGTATACTTAAAATGTTCTCTCCATGATAACTTAGGAGGTACTGTACATCATTCCCATTTTGTCTTTGATAATCACCTTAGGTGAACAAGGGGAAGTAGTACATTTTCCTCTTAGTGCTAATTAATCCACTAAGCAGCACTTACAGTAAGTATTTCAGTCTCTCTTCAGGGTGTAAGGCAGTTAGGTGTAGCCAGTGTTTGAAGTGGCCGAGAGTTCTAGATTAATAAATGGTTGTTGGTATTTCTTTTTCAATCCCTTGATTTCTTGTGTGCCTCCAGGAGGGATTTCACTTTCATTCCATGATACAAACAAGTATTTTCGCCACCCAAGAGAGATAGTTTAGATTTAGATATTTGCATAATCGTGTGTGTAAGTAAACAAGTGAGTTATAAGAAATACCGTCCTCCAGAACTTTTTCCTTGAGTAAAAAGCCCCAGTCAGCAGACTGCCAGATGGTATATTTAATATGACAAATTTTCCTTGTATCACTTTAATTATAAAGCAACGTGGCACCTCTTATAGCAGAATTTCGTATTCACCTTTCATTCACCTTACTACTTAAGCAGTCAGACCGTAGAATTTAATGTGTATCTACACATTTGAGTACACACTGAGAATTGTTAGGAATGTGTATGCTGGATAGAAAAATGCACCCATTATAAACCACACCTAATTACATCTATATGAAAGTGTTAACAAATGTGCCTTCAAATGCAGAAAGCTCTGAAATGAAAGACTGCATGCTGCCACAGCGCTCTCCACGGTACTGAACCTGCAGTTTGTTAGCAGCAAGGAGATCTTTACTAATGCTTTTAGAATACAGTATATCCTTTCAATACGTTTTAAGTAAATAGTTGTATTATTGGGGACTATTTTCACAGATTTTTTATATTAATGACTATTTATCATGGCAGCAAATATCATGAAAAAACGCATGGTTTTGCATGATATCAAAACAAACAGGAAAAAGTAGAATATTACCAAATGGCCGAAGCCTGCGAGCTAGTTCAGGCAGTCAACTCGAGCACTTATGCTGCATTCAAACATAACGCCCTTTGCCCAAGGCCGGATTAGTACCTCCAGGGGCCCCTGGGCACTGAGCGCTCATGGCCACCCCCCCAACCCACGTATCAAGAAGTAACACCACGCCTACCCAATCCTACCAACATGACCAATATTTTGAATTTTCTGTCAATCTGGCATGTCAAATCGCACACCTATTTGTCAAAAGCAGGGACACAGCCACATAGTTCAACCAAAGTAGGTCTAGCCTTTTGCCCTTTTAGTCAAAAATCCCAAGACAAAGATACAATGGATAAGATCCCAAGACAGTGTATGGCTCAGGAATACCTAGGTAATATTACTCAAAACCTCAGAACAGCACCCCACTTAATGCCAAAACATGACTGGCTGGCTGTACAAGTACACAAGGAGTTGTATTAGTTACAAACATTGAGAGTTTACAAAAGTAAATATGCGTAGCGTGAAAATGCGTGTGGTTGCCGTCAAACTATAGTGATGGAAGCTAGTCGATGTGTGATGTGATAGTGTGCGTGTGTGTGGTGTGTGTGTGTGTGTGTGTGTGTGTGTGTTGTGGTGGTGTGTGTGTGCGTGTGTGTGTGTGTGTGTGTGTGTGTGTGTGTGTGTGTGTGTGTTGTGTGTTGGTGTGGGCGCGTGTGTGTGAGTGTGTGCGAAGAGTAGGAGTGTGCATGAGTGTGTAGTGACGTGAGACTGTGGCATCGTTACTTGTAGCAAGTGTGTCTTCTTGACTTGTCTCTGTGATGCTGTGTGTGTGGTGTGTGTGTTGTTGTGTGTGTGTGATGGTGTGAGTGAGTGAGTGAGTGGTGAGGAGTGAGTGAGTGAGTGAGTGAGTGAGTGGTGATGAGTGAGTGAGTGAGTGAGTGAGTGAGTGAGTGAGTGAGTGAGTGGATGAGTGTGTCTGAAAGCACAGATAGGATCTTATTTTTAGAAGTGCTTTCTTCTTGACTTTCTCTTTGAAATCTGTCATTAGGTATCAAAATCCAGATCCGTCCAAGATCAGACTCAGGCCATCAAAGAATGGGCTGAAAGTCTCTTCTGCAGCATGGTTGGTCCTAAAGTTCATTTTGAGTGGCGTTATAGCTCGTGAAACCCAATACTTAATTGATGGACCTACCTCTAGAAGAGATGAAGGAGTAACAAAGCAGATAGTAGAGAAAATCACTGAGCATATAAAAAAGAGAATAAGAATGAGTAACCACAGAAGATAAAAAGAATGAAACTCAACCAAGAACAGAATAGAAATATAGAACAGAAGAAGATATAAAAAAAATATAGAGACTACT